AACTTCGATTGGAGATGATCTCTCATTGCTTACATCAGTTGAGGATGTAGTCAGTAATTTCTTCCATACAGCACATATCAACAAAAAATCTTACACGCTTAAATCTTATTCTCTCTGTTTATACTGGTCTAAAACGCGTGGGCCTTAGAGTTCTGTATGTTCTCAAAATAGACAGTGGTGTTACTCCTGAAATATTGTAGGTGACCTATGACGGTGTTTTCAACAGGAACATCGAGTTACAGTCCTAGGGCAGTGAGTGACGATTTATTTAAACCAATTCTAGATGCATCTCTGAAAAAATAAGCAAAGTGAAACCTCTAAGGACTTACTTTAAGACAACTTTACACAGATATGATGAGGACACTAAAGCCCCATTTCTTGTTCAGTATCTGCTGTATTTAATGTGCTTCTATTAGCATAACACACGCACAACGATGTCTGTAATGCAGTAACAAGTATCACATTATAGATATATGCTAAGTAAAGCACTACATCTCAACAGGAATATTAGGGGGCTGTGATGGTCAGAGAATGAGCTACATGAGAATGGCAAGTCCTCATTCTCAGAACATCCTCACCACGCATGTTGAGAATGGCATCTCCTGTCTTTACCAACAAAGCAAGATGCTTTGTTGCTTTCTGGAAATACTGCAGAGCCAATACGCCAGCAAGGGGGGCTTGACTCTGCTGAAGCTTGTAGCCTCACTGCTAATTAAGGGTGGAATGGAACCCTCCCTCAGAAACCAGATCATCAGGTTTTATGACAAAAGCCTTGATTACAGAACCTAAGCTGACTTGTCAGATCCTAGAATGAGCTTCCAGGATGTATTTACTTATTTTAACTTGTAAAGGATTTTAAACTGTGAAATCTCACCGTGCCATTTTATAGTCACTTTTGGGAGTATAGCAGCAGCTAATCAGCTCAAAAATCCCACCATATCTTACACATATGCTCAGTTTTCTGCAGTATTAATTGCACTGGAACTACTCATCTGCATAAATTAAGCGCATGCTTAAATATATGCAAAATCTGAGCTCAAATGGCTATAAAATATATTCTCAAAATGACAAGTAGGCATTAAAAAAAAAAGAATCATCATGGAAGGTCTGCCAGACAGGGAACCCAGTATCTGTCTGCTGTCAGCCATGATGAAAACACAAAACAATTTTTGTAACCCAGTGTACACTGCAAGTGAAAGAAACATGCAGGACAGAGTGAAAAAAAAGGGTTCAACTGCATGCAGTCTAATTTCAAGTGTGTAATTATGGTCCTGTTTTCTTTGGCCTAAAAAAAAAAAAAGGAGGAAAAAACCCAACAAAAGGTCACCAACTAACCTCTCCTCACCTCCAAAAACCCAAACTGCATACAGCTCGAAAAGGGCTTTAAAGCACTGGAAATGGGGAGGGAAAAGGTCTGAATATTAGGGATGTACAAGTAATTACTAACAGTTTCAGGGCTATTCAACACACCACTAGGAAAGCATTCAGCCATTACTAGAACTTACAGCTATGACAGAGAGCAACGAATCCCATCTTAAATGAGCAGTCAGTGTCTCTTCCGCAGAGAGAAGCACTGCTCATACCTTTATGGAAGATAAAATGACAATTGCTGGCTCCTTGCTCCTTAGAGAGAAAGCCTGAAGACACCAGAGCTCTGCTGAGCTCCCCTCAGCCCCGAGAGCTCTGTCTCACCGCCCTGCCACCATGAAGGACCACCGTACCCTACAGTTGTCGGGGGAAGAGGCTGTTTTTCTGCCATTTCTAAAAATGTTGCAAAGATAGTGTTCCTTACAGAAAATTCCAGGGGGATGAAAAGGCCACCAAGCTGCTAGTAGATTAAACACAACACACATACCCCACTTAAGGAAAAAAGGTCAGGGGGAAGACTAAGGTCTGCTGGAAGCTGAGGAGGGCAGAGGAGCAGGCTGCTTGACGAAGGGCACTAGCACAGATTCTGGGAGTTTGAATATCAAGCCTGATATCGGCCTAATTGCCCACCCTGAACGATCTCTCTGGCAGTGGTGTTTCAGCATGCAAATTATAGCTGTGAAAAATTCCTCAGACTGAAACCCTCCCTTGTTTCTTCAGCCTTGTTTTGTCCTTTCCAGAAAAATCTAGTAGTTGGTGTGTGATATGGTTACATAGACAAAGATCTTTTTCCTAGCCCTTTTATTACATACGCTTGATTACTGTGAAGGGATTTAAATGAGTTTAATGTCCCTGGTACTCAAAAGGCAATGGCTGCCTTTCAACAAAACAAAGCAAACAAAAAACCAAGAGCTGAAGAGCTGTGCTGGAGGAGAGAAGTGCTGCTGCTGCCGGAGAGGCTCAGTTAGATACAGGAGGTGGCAGACCAGGGCGCCGAGTTTGAATGATTTTTGGCTTTGGAGAATTCTTTGGGTCCTCGTCTTCTTCCATGTCGCTGTCACAGACATGCACTACCACGCTGGGAGTGGACTCTGTTCCTGCGTGCAGCTCGTATTTCTCTCCTGGAAGCAGAAATAAAAAATAGATCAAAGGATGACTGTCTGAGTAGCAGCACAGACCATGGCACTCCTGGACTGCAGAATACTCCTGCACCTGGACAGGGCAGATGAGTGCGTGCTGCTCCTAAATACAGGTGAGGGCAAGCATGGCTAGACTGTATCAGATCCCTGCAGGGGCAGTGATCATTGGTTTGTAAGACATAATAAAATACCCTGGTGTCTATAATGGCGTTTTGCACCAATATTAGTGGCCAGCAGCAGTGAAAAAAAAAAATAAAGTATGAAGAGGAGGGAGAGCACAGAAGTTCATGGTTAAGAAAAAGGACTGGAATGCAACCTATCAAACATTTGGTCTGAAGTCACATCCCACCTGTTGGGCTGGGGCTATGCTTTTTTGTTGTTTTCCTTTAATCTAGCATGGCTCCAGTCCCATTTTAAGTCCACTCCATTCTGCAACTTGTTGCCTCCAGACAGACATCAACACTTGGTCCAATTGCTATAGAAATTAAAAAAAACCCCCACATCTATCTGCTCCAGACGGATTTTGAGATTCAAAGCTCTTTAGCTGGGGCTGTAACGAATTCTGTCTCTACAGATGAGATTACAGAGTACAGTCTATAAATGCTTACTAGCAGGCTACACACTTAAACAGTACATTAGATTTTCTAACTATGTACATTCCTTATTTAAGTCTCCACCCAGTACTCCTGTGGGGAAGATGAATATGGCTTAGGTGGTTACCTGCAAGAGTCCACAAGCAACAGAAAATGAGGATCAGGCATGGGACTTTCAGTTCTACATTCAGGCTGTTGGCACTACATATGTTTTGGATTGTACACAGGATGTAAGTAGGTATTGGTTATTAAATTGCAAGGAATTAATTTAAGACTGTGAGGAGAAAAAAGTCCCAATGGTGACATTGCTGACAGGATGACTTGGTCTTTCAGAAGTGACAGGCACCCGTTCACAGCACTGAAAACTAGAAGCCATTCCAGCTAATGCTCTGCCCCACTGATGACAAATAGTCCAAACTCATCTCCAAGACCCACAAGCCACCATTAAATTAAAATAGGCTTACAGTGACCACACACACCCCTGATAGCCTGGATTTTTCTTCATAAGAGTGCTGCAAAACCACTGCATATTGCCCGCAAAATATTCTGCAATGAGGAAGGCGCGGTCCCAACGTACCTAGCTGACCTGTATTTGTGCTGCAGCAGCGGCTAAATGCCTGTGTCACCGGTAGAACCCGGCAGTGCTAGGTGTTGTACCATGAAAGTGAAATGGCAGTCCCTACCTCAAAGCACTTGCAGTTTGTTCGTGTTACTAATTAGGATTTTTCTTTATTAGCAGCTTTGTGGCAGAATAATTCATGTGAGGAAGAGGTTGCAGGTTTGGCCCTGCATTGGCACATGCAGTTCTGGGCTCACATGTTATTTGTGCTGACAAATTCTTGGTCCAAATAAGACTGGGCGGCTTGCGACTAGAGGACATGCTGCATTTTTGCCTAAAAAATAAGAGGCAACTAGTGAATCATAGCTATAAGTCAGGCATCTTGCTGTGAGAAATATTTTACTGCTGTGATACCATTAATGTTGACATTTAACTGCTCTATTTTTGGCAGCCTTTCCTCTGAATCCAAATTGAGCAAAGCATTTACAGGTCTTGCTGATAGGCTAAAATATAAAAAGAGAAATAGCGTGGTTGTGCTGCATTGAGAAATTATATGGTTTTTCTTTGCCTATTTTCCCTGCGGGCTTCAGCTAATTTCTCGGCTATGGGCTGACGTCAATGCTGCCAACCAGCACCGAAGGCTACACTGGTCACTGTCAGCGACAAGCCGCTCCGCAGCGCTGCGCACTCACAACGCTGGGCCCTTCCCTCCTCTACCAGCACCGTGAAGTAAATCAGATTCACTGCCCTCTTAAGAGGTAATAATCCCAGGTCAAATGCCACATTCTTTTACTGTTCAAATCCTTCCCAGAAGGACTCTTTCTACTGAAAAAGAACAGTGGAAATAAGTACAGACACAAGGAAAAATATTCAGATGCCTTTGGCACAAGTAACTGCAACAGCAATTAATGTCACTTTGCAAATCAAAATGTGATGCGCTTATAAATTAGGTTTTTGAGGCATACAGTTATTTCTGGGCATAAATGAGCTGCAGACTCAGTTCTGTACTCACGATTACTCATGCCTGCAGAACTGTGGCTCAAACTGCAGAAAACCTTTCTATGGCTGAGCTAGGAACAAGACAACAGTAACTATGGGACAAGCTTGTATCTTGTTCCTAAATGTAACCGTTGTTTGCTGAGGAACACTGAGGTAATAAGCACAAAGTAAAAATCCAATCGATAAAGCCAGATTACCCCTTCCCTTCTGCTTTTTTGTACATTTTCTTCTTTCCTCTTAAACAACAAATCCAGCATAAAAACCCCCCAAACAAGCAATTGAGCTAAATCTGCAGTAGTTAAGCTAGCAGAGTAATGGTTGAACCACTGCAGTTGAGTTATGCTTACAAGGTACAGGTTGTCCCAAGCTAGGTGTAGCAAGTCAAGTTAGCATAGTTAAGATTCACCAAGTTCTGTAGTTAATACCACTGAAGCATTTGTCCAGTTACCTCATTCAGCTGTCTCTGACGCTGCCCCACCACTCCCACTTCTTCCCACTTCTCCCTGGAGAACTCTCACAGGCTAAGCCAAAGGATTCTTGGGGAGAGGTATCTTTCTCCTCCAGCAGGCTATCTCTATCCCTTAATAATAAGTTGTTTCAAATATTCATGTAAGCTGAGATAACAATGGAAACTCACATAAATTTATTCAGAAAAATATCACAATATTTATCAAGTACACTCGAACATCTAAACCCTGCCTTCAGGGTATAACGCAGGGAAGAATTAAACTGTGGCATTTCCACCATATAGATTCATCAGAAAATGTTCCTAACAAACCCCTGAAAATAGCAGCAATGTTCTTCTATTAAATTGCTTCGCATAAGAAAAAAAATAGGAAATTGAAGTTTCACCATTCAACAATGGGCCTAACTGCTTTTATGTCACTTGGCACCACCTTTTGTGACTGCATTAACCACAAGCAAACCCACAGCCTCAGGTGACACAAGAAAGATGACCACAAGAACAGCACAAAAGCAACTTATAATATTTCAGAATTATAAAAATAACGGCATGTGATTTTCTATCCCTTTGTGAATCAGTACTATGACCTTTCATTGCTGGTGCATCTCTTGTCTAATGAGGCTCTTTTGTCCAGCAAAGACTATCTTCATACACTTAATTAATATTGAAGAAATTATAATGATACTGTGCAGCTACCTCATCCCTGACTTTGACTCATGATCAAAGGTTAAAATGGGTTCAGAGCTGTCCATTCCATGTTAAACATGTCATTAGCACCATAAAAATACCTTCCACTTATAGTCCCTTCATCCAAGTGCTTTACAAATAACACGGTGCAAATAACGGGTGGTCCTTTGTACGGGTGCATGTGTATGCCTGAAGAGATAGAACCCATCCCATATAATACCTCTACTGCATGGATCTGCCATACGCAAAATGGAGGAGTTGCTCTCTGGAAGTCCATTACCGATGTTGCAGGAGAAGGTCACCCTCCTCTCCTGGCCAGCAGGACAAGGCAGAGGGAGAGCCTTCTACACCCACAGTCCTCCTGTACCCTGCCTGAGGGAAGGGCAGAAGCAGCCGCAGAACAGAGGAGAGAGGAAGAACAGAGATGGAAGATTTTATCTATCACCCATCTGCCTGCCCCTTCACCCCCTTTTAATCCTTTTTGGGAGTCATATGAAATATTTAGTATTTCCTTTGAATCAGTGAGAACAAACATGAGAATTTGTTCTCTGGGCATAGAAAACTTGCCGTGCGAGGCATGGTTTGAAATCTGCGTGCGGCATTTACTGGGCAGGGTCCTGCTCTTTCCCGTTTTCCCCTTCCCTCTGCAAGGGTGAGCCAAACCCAGGGCAGAGCAGGGGCAAGAGCTACGCATCCTCAAGAAGCCCAGCTAGAGCATGGCAGGAACTACATCTTAATTGCTCAGAGACAAAAATGAAACCCTGTCCCAGCCCTTCTCTGACCACTGATCATTCGCAGACCCAAGCAGCCAAGTGGCACAGACTGCTGCAGGGTCTCCTTTGTGTCTCAAGACACCTCTGTGGACCTAGGAGCCATCACGTGTAAGGCTTCAGGGTGCTGCTTTCATAATGCGAAGAACGTATTTTACATGGCCTGGAGTGCAGCCTGGGGGCATGTGGGAGGTGCAAAGCCTGCTGGAATGCTGACAAAGGACTGGGAAATGGGGAGAGAACTGAAACGGGTACAAATTTGTCTGCACGGGCTACTGGAGATGGTGTCCAGCCTGCATTGATTTTCAAATAGTGCCTGAAATTGTGGAGGCGAGTGCTAACGGATAGAGGGCAAAACCGCACTGGGGAGCACATACAGCAGTTAAGTGCTGACCTATATTGTGTGTTAATGTATCGTGCAGATCTCATCAGTGGAGCCGTGATCCGTGAATCAAAGCCATGGGAGAAAGGCACTTTGTCCGGGCAACCGCTGGGTGGGCAGCAGGCAGGGCTGAGGTTGGCAAGGGGAGGCCAGGGTGGCACCTGGGATCCTGGGGACAGGCACTCTGAGGAGTGCAGACTTAGCAAGTGAGGGAGTACAGAGCAGTCTGTTGAGAAGAAATTGGGGTAGCGGGTTTGAAAGAGGCAATGGGGGAAGTGAGGGAAGAAATACGCAGGTTGGGCCTAGAAAGGGAGGGGGTAGGACCGCTTTCCAGAAAATAAGGACTTACTCTAGGTGCCAGGAAGATGGGGATGGTTTGTAAACTGCTGCACTAATAAATGGCAGAGCAAACATAGCTGCCTTTTCTCTGAGAGGAGCAGCTCTGCTTTATAGACATAGCCTAGACCTGGAGATTCCCCCCACTCCTCCTTACATTTTACATATAAAATTATTTCCTGTATTCCTTAGAGGGATGAAATTAAGACCTTATAAATTTTTATGAAAGAGACATAAGGCCCTAAACTAGACAACAGCTTAGTACGTAGCAAGCATTCCTGTAGAAAAGAGCTAGGTCCAAGTCAGGCCAGGCAGAGACACAACCTGGGTCTGACAGGCAACCAGCCAAACTACCACCCTCGTTCAGTGCAATGCCTTTGTATCTTCATCGGTGTTTTAAACTACTGGAAGTTCTCTTGACAGCGGAAGTGTTTTTCGTCAAAGATATTAACGATCACACTTCTTTCTTTGCAATATATTGAAAAAAAAGTAGGTTGGTGGTCAGAACCAGGCACGGTCACAGTTGCTGGCCCTGACTAGTCTACAGTATTCTGTTCATGCCTCATTTAAAGCTCAATTTCTGAATCTGCAGAAAGTAAGAATACACATCAATGAACAAGAAACTTAAGTAAACATGCCATGGTCTTCCCTAAGAAGTAAATGCGCCCTTACCAATCTCAATTTAATGTCGAAGGACCAAAAGCCTGCTTCCTTTTGTGCACAGCAAAAAGAAATCTTTCCAGTTAGACCTCTGAGATGCCAGACAGTCATTGCTGCAGCCACAAGCCTGCAAAAATAACCCCACAAGCCTGTCCCAAAACTGAGCTTGGAAAAAGCAAATCTGTTAACTAGCTTCCGGACAACTCATTTTACTCTGGAGCAAATCTCCCAACGTTTGTGCCTGGGGACAGTTTTAGACTCTGATTTTGTGGCTATGATGATTATGGCAGCGTACTGTGAAAGGAGATGACCTGTATCATGGAATGGGAAAGTAGTCTGGGTCTGTGTCCAAGTGGTGTATCTTGCAATTCCAGTGAAGTAGGTCAGTAAAACTCATCTTGTACTGGGGACATACAAAGAAACTATTCACTATTTACAGGCTCAAACGAATTTTCCTGGTCCTCAGATATTAGTCTTACCAACTCAGTGTATTTAATATAGCAAAGATTCCTCACAAGTTAAAGACATAGAAGTCAGGCTCTTAACATTCAGAGTTCTGTAAACTGTGGTGCCAGTGAGTATTTTTTGATAGCTGATACACCATAGTTACATTTTTAATTGTGTTTTTTGAATGAAAAAAAAAAAATCTAACTTAAAGGTGTTTTCCTAATGTGATACTGAGAAATGAGTTTTGGTGGGATTTGTTTTTCAGTGAAATTCTAAACGTAGTAAATGCACAATTGAGAACTGCAACACTATTTTAAAACCGCCACTGCAGTTAACTAAAATTGATCTCTCTAACAAGTGCTAAAAATAGAAAGAGAGCACACAGTGACTTTTCATATTGCTCCCTGCAGGCTCCTTAAATACGGGTGAATATGACCTTCATGCAAAGCTGTCCCAGAGTGTGGGACAATGAGTGATATTTCACATTCCACTGCTCTAGAACAGGAATTGATTTATTACCCAGCTCGCTAGGGAATTCGTTTACATGCTTCCATTTATAACACTGCTGCATCAAGGGGAAAAAAAAAAGGAGGTTTTTTGTTTTCTTTTATTCAGCAGTTTAGAAGCAAAGCATCAATTCTAGAAATAACAATATGCAAAATAGTATGAAGTGTTACACCTGACAGCCCTTTCTGCTGAATGGGAATAAAACACGGGAATCTCTGATGTTCTCCTGGTATATGTTCCCCCACTGTGAGAGATCCCTTGTGAAAAAGATACGAGATGATCCTGCAAACCTTGTGAATCACGAAACAGCTCTTCCTGCACCCCACACACTTCAGTTCTGGGTTACTCTCGTGCAGTTACACAAAAGCCCCGGTGATAAGATGTCTGCAACTGGAAGCTAGTCTCAGAACAAGAAAGCAGTATCTTCAGTACAGCTGGGGAGAAAAAAATTCTCTCATCCCACAGGAATTTAGAAAATAAACTCACCCCCCCCCAGTTGTTATTAGATTGGATCTGAAGTGGTTTATTTCAATACAAAAATAATTTAACAAGCTATTTGTTCTTATGGTTTACAAATGTAAATTAGACCTAATTTCTAAATGATACTGCCTAGACTGGAAACTGGAACCTTTTCCATTTTGAAAATTTTAGAAGAGGATGCTTTAACACCCTCAAGGCTTTAACAGCTTTGAAAGAAAACTATTTGTAATGATGACTTAATTAAATCAAATGTAATCCTCTCCTATGGAAAGTTTTGGTTTCATCAGATGAGCATTTTCTAAGGGAAAGCATTGTTTTGAAAATCCCAGCTAGCTTCAATTCCTGGCACTAGCTGAAGGTGGGAAGACAGAAGAAAGTCTATCTGCATTATCCATTTGATAGAGGCTACAACTTATCCCATTCCTTCTGCATACAGTTTTCAACGGAAAACGGGCAGTCCCAACGGAGCAATCCTGCCAAGTTTGGGGAATGGTAGTTCTCTCTCGACCAGCTTGTTAACATGAGAAATTCTCCACGCTGGAGGAGATGCAGTGATTTGATGAGGTATTATTCTGCATCTTCAAAAGCAGTACTGAGCAGATGGGATTTAAAGCAAAAGCTCCTCAAGTTCATGCACAAGCATTTGCCCAGTCCCCACATAAACCATCAGTTGTCTCATCTCAAACACAAATCCAAGCACAACAGATTGTGTAAACAAGCTTTGATCTGCTATTCAATCAAATAGCACTCACAAGCTGCAGATAAGATAGAATTCTGTACATACATACAGTAAAAACTCATTCTTAAGCAAAGAACAAGTTAACATGCATCAACTTAAATCCAAAGCTTTAATGCAACTTACAGGCTTTACCCCAACTTCCTCTACAGTTATTCTCTACACTTCTTGTCTGCTGCTTCTGACGTATTTTCACACAAGGATCACAAGCTTACCTGGTCCTAGTTTAGAAACTGCATAAAGGAGGTCGTAGTTGATGACAGGTGTTGCATCATCTATTGGTTGCCACCCTACAGGTGGGGAGGCTGGAGGCGAGATGAGAAACTGTTTTGCAGGCTGTGGTGGTGCCAAATGAAGCTTGTCTCCATCTGTCTCAGAGGTCTGAATCTTTAAAGCATAACAAATACATTGTTTAGTATAGGATGGGTAAATGGAATGATTATTCAAATCGTACACTTCTAATACCAAGTGCCTCCCAGGCGGGGTTTCAGCGTCGGTCTCAGCAGAGAAGGCCTGGAGATGAATTTCATCTCAACCTTACAGATGGTTCCTCTACAGCAAATACACTGTAGGTGGCTGTTATATGAGCAAAGCTACAATGTTTGTGCCTATTGTATATGTTCTCTGAGGATAAATGCAAAGCTTTGGTATCCACGGCTGCTAGTTCAGAGATTTTTGAGGCTAAAAAGATGTTATTGTGGTCTACTGGCCTGAACTCCTAAAAAGACGTTAGACAAGAAACCAGTAACTCCTGCACCAAGGCCTTATCAGTAACTTCAGAAAGGTTTCTGAAGATTTGATTTCTTTCACTGAAGTGGTAAAGGAAATCTATCACACTCCTTAGTCATTTGCAACTAATTGTTCTCATTTTATTTCCATGTTAAATTATCTAGTTTAAGTCCTGCTTTTTTCTGGCATATTTAAGAAGTCTCAACATAAATGAATTATACTACAGCCATACCTGAGCAAGTTTACAACCAGCTCGGTCCCAGAAGCAATAAACTACATTCACATGACAGCAAGCCAGAGAGAGCACCCTGCTATACCACAACGGGTTTTACAAAGAGCCAGTTTGCATCTCTCAACTCCATGTTCCCCAGAACTTCTAGTTCTGGAAGTGCTTATTCAGTCCGGCTCAGGTCCATATAAACATACACTGCTCCAGACACTGTGCTGCTTCCACATACTCATTTCCTGGACACAACTAATAAGCTCTTTTAAGACTGCATGTACTGAAGAGCATAGTGCAGGAGCACTATAGACTTTCTTCTGTCTTCCCACCTTCAGCTAAAGAGCTTTGCAGGAAATCAGCTTAGATATGGAGACTATGTACATTTTTCTTTTTGTTGTGTTATCCTAAGTTTCCTATTTGCCTCTTGATTGTGCAGTTAGAGTGAAATGATTCACAGATCTGCTTAACAGCAGGTTTTGAAACCCTTCAGAAAAAATTCAGAACCAGATCTAGGAGATTAAGGCATATAAAATGGGTTTGAGGTAAATTGTCAACACCTAAATCCAACTAAGATCTTCTGAACTCATCTAACTCATTAAGCATATTGGTTTTTTTCCACAACTACAAGATGTTTCCCATCTTCCTGAGGTTCTGCTTCTGCCTAGGCTGAAAACAGCTCCTATTCTGACCAGGCTGTGGAGGCTCAACACTTAACTGCCTCTTAGGTTTGTCTGGTATCTTCAAATGAGCCTGCCCTTAACCTAGGACCTCTGAAGGACCAATCTGGCAGCTCAAGCCACACTTAGATTGCTTATAAGTGCTAGAGAGCATCCCATAAGCAGCAGCGGCCACAACAACTTACTAAAATACATTCAGAACAGATGGTGGTCGGATTCTCAACCTCCCTCACCTTTCTAAATCCTAGCTGGGGCCTAGTACTCACCCAGGCTGTGAGACATCTGGGATCTCTCATCCTTGGCCAAGCAGAATTGAAACCCTCATCTGACACTTCCAATGGATGGATATAATCACCTTTGCCCCCAGGCTGGAGGCATTCTTCTCTCCCTACCTCCTCCCTTTTACTTGAACTCACTGAATTTCTTTTAGAAAATTGACACATGTATTCAGTAAGAAAAAAAGAGTCCGGAGGAAGCCTGATTGTGGTTTAGGGTTGCAGTCAAATAAGTAATTCAGCCCTACTTTTTTTTATGGACTGATACTTTACATTACCACTTTTTTAATGGTTAGTTTAGAGAGCTACCCACAGAAAATACTCAATGTTGTAAATCAGTTCTAAGCTATGTAACTTCTGTGTGTTGAATAAGCAACTTGGGTCCTAAGTGATCCTTTAAATTTACTGCAGACCTGCTGGGCAGATACAGCTCAGGCAGCATAAGGATGTCTGAGTAATCTTTTAGCAGAGACATTGGGCATGAGAGAAACCTTTATTACTTTACTCAGTGTTGCTACGCGCTATTTCTTATAAAAGCTACACACCAACATAGAAGTATACCAGATTTCATTACCTGTGCAAAATACAACTTTAACTTCTTCCCCCTGAACTGTGTTTCATGCAGCTCTATTCTGGCACGGGCAGCTGATTTGGGACTGCTAAAATTTATCCGCACACGCCTGAAGCTTTTAAACAGCTGGAATGTCACGCAGTCATCATAGGCACGGAACAAGCCTTCAAATTTTTCCTGCAAATGAAAAAGAAATAATGCTGACGATTAGCTCTGTGCTCTGTCACATAGTCTGTGTCAAAGGGTAACCTGAAACTTGAGGACAACTCTTTAACTAGGAGGTTTCAGCCTTTGGGGGTGGGTGTCCATAGACTAATAAAGGCTCTGTGAAAAGAACCTCAGGAAAGCACTGCTCTGGAAGGGCTGAACTCTCTAAAATCTTTGTGGGAACGAGTCTTCAAAATAAGAACCCTGCAGCTATTGAACTTCTCGCAAACGTTGAGCAAAACTGCGACAATGACTTATGAAATGAAGCTGAAAAGGGCATATGACTGAAAATACCAGATGACTATGGTCTCATCTGTACAAACGCAAACATTGTGCTGAATGACAATGGAGTCACAAAGTCAGGCCCACTGTAACCAAGGGTTACAGTCACATCAGCACTGCAGGGTCATTCTGTACTGCATGTTACGTTTTTCTGAATGTTTTGTCATTTAAATACTTTGAGCAGATATACCCTCATTCCTTGAGAGTTCCTGTATCAGCAGGGGAAAAAAATAAGGTAACTGAAAACAGTGACCTGTCCCAAAGACAAATTTCAGGCTTAAAAATGTTTAGCTGTAGAACTCCACATTCAAAAGCTCATGACACAATTACGGATATTTTAACAGCATAAAAGAAAGGTCTGAAGTGTACCACATCTACGGACCCAGAGATCAACAGAAATGCAAGGTACTTCAGCACCCATGGAGGATCAAACTATCTCTGCAATTTCTCTACGCACAGAGTTCCTATGTTCTACATCATCAAATAAAACCAAAGTCCTTAAATCAATTCTGACACACTTGCACAGGTCTTTTCATTCACACAAGCATAGATTCGTAAAATATTAAGACTGAAAGGGAGCCGTTATCATTAGACCACCATCCAGCGAGTCTCACATGAAATCCTAGAATTTTAACTACTGCAACCAAGAAGAGTTGGAAGTCTTAGAAGATGGAGAATCAGCCAGAGCAAAGCCCCTTCTTTTCAGAGTTCTTTATCCTGAAAAAAAACAGTGTTTGAGATGATTTGCCATACCATTTCATACACTGAGGGCTATTAGGTCAGGTATTTGTACGATTAAAATAACCTGATGTTTTCTTTGATATATCTGCAAGTAAGCATGTTTTAAAATGTCTTAAAATATAACAACTTCTCTTATCTAGGAAAATAATTTCTTCCCATAGAGTGGATAACTGCTAGAGGCTGCAGAAGATGAAACAGAAAATGCAATGTGTATAATCTCATCAATACTTCAGTTCTCATCTGCTGCTCTTAGAAGCAAGAAGAAGAATCCAGAACCTCTGAGAAAAAGGGATCCTGAAGCACGGTGAAGATGCATCAGGGAGCACTAGTAGCACTGTGGGAGTGCCTACTGGCAGCATGATATATTTGTTAAGGAGTTAACTAGGAAAACAGACCAGGCAGGGAGTATGAAACACTAATGCGCACGTACCAGATCTCCTTTCATTCACTGCCAACTCTGTGGTCTTCTTCCCCATAACTGATATTCCATCTCTGGCACGCTTTCAAAGGAACCTCCCTGTGGTCTATTAAGTTTTCATGATTTTCATTTAATTTCGTCTGACCTCACTCACCTCCTCCTCTCACCACAGGAGATACATTAGAGGAGGCGAAAACAAAAGTGAGAGGAGAGGGGTCAGTGATTTGGTTGAGGGGGAATAAAGGCACGCAGTAATCCCACTAGCATGAAGTTGATAGGTTTGTACAAGGTTTGTACAGGTGGGTCTAGTCATACCACCTAACATTCAAATTGTCAACATTTCACACCTGAGTTACGTTTTTTAACTGCTTTGCTTACAACTTTGCAAAATCCCATTTTCCTGAGCAGAAGTCTACATCCAGTGACATTTGTCCAAAGGTCAGCCAAAAGCAGCCGTCATCGCAGTCCTGTCCTGCTTGGACTTTTGATGCTACAACCTTTACAATGACTAGGGGAAGAGGGCTGGGGGAAGGGAGGGAAGGGGTCAGGGGACCAGTGTATGTGTAAAGTAGGACTTACACAGCGTTAGGAAACATGCGGTACTGTTTATAATCTAAATAAAACATAACAGTGACAAACTAATTAAAGCTTATGTCTTTATGTTACCTATATTACCTATTTCAGACCTCTTCAGTATTTTTTTTAAAAAGCACCTTCAAGTAAACAAACTTATATATATGAGAGATATCAAGATATTTACATATATACACACATATATATACACACATATATGAGACGATCAAGGTATTACACCAGAAGTCACGTAAGCTAAAAATAAGCAAGGTGAATATTTCCTAGTCCCCTGTTCTAGTTCTGTTTCCTCAAAAGTCAGCAATTAAATCATTCATCATATAAAAAAAATACATATATACTTCACCAGCTGTGGAAGAAACCGTGCATGGACTTGTCTGGACACTGGGAAGTAAGTCTCTCTTACGACTGAGTATTTATTAGGAAACAGATTCTCCCTGTATTGACGCAGTGGTGTTTTCTTGCATCGGCCAGAGCTGTGTGCCTGCCCTCTCTGTGCACAGCATATACGACAACACGGAACCTCGGTCTTCGTTAGGGGTATAATGCAAAAGAAGGGAGGACGTGATTTCAAACGTGGGTCCAAGAACAGCGAGCAGAGGAATGTTCTGGGCACACTTCTGGACAACACTGAGATGCACTCTCTTCAGGCAGTGAAAGGGACAGATGGGAGGATCTCTAAATAAAGCTGATTAAGTACTGGATGCCAAATGTAATACTGGGAGAACATTAAAGCGCTATGGATTTTATTCTGCTTACTTTTCAATTGGATACTGGCACAGCTTTTGAGATCCAGCTTTGATTAATGCTCCTAAAAATGCCATGGGGAGGAGGGAAATCAAGCCCTCAATTTGCCATTAATACAGGGCAGTCTATCCACCATGGGGACACTTCCCCTGCACCGACTGAAACTGCACCTCCTATTAAAAAGATTCATACATCTGAATTTTTCTACAGTTTCAGCTGATAATAATAATGACCTCAGCAGAGGTCATTAATCATCAGCTGCAGTTAATGGCCCTCAGCTGCATTTTGAGCCATCCCAACTCCTCCCAGCTTGATACTAATTCCCAGGAAACGCCTTATGCCTTAATTGCTATTGCCTGTGACTTCTATTATCTGCTGAATGTACTTAGCTGGATAAAAGTCTTTCAGAGTCATTCCAATCTGTAAGAAAATGGATCATATACGTTTTAAAGACCTAAGCAAATTCTCTCCCTTTCAAGTTTCGTGGATAAATTATTCAAGACTCATAATTCTCTTCATTCAGGACTTTTAAAGCGCTTTTAGGATTCACTAGTATTAAAATGCTTTTAGAAAGTAAGTTTTTAAACTTTCAGAATGCTTTGAAAACTCATTAAAAAAAAAAAAAGAAAAGGAACGTCCGAAGTTAAACAGCAGTGTTGCTACTCTTAAAAAGTCAAAATGCAGAAAGTCACGAGTGATGCGTTTATTTCTGGGATTTTGGCATGTCTTCATCCATCCCAAGTATGTCTGTGTGAGACCCAATTAATGCTCTGGCAAATGTGAGTAAGCCTTCCTTTGACCAATACTGCAGAAGTTCTCACTGCTCCCTGGTGGGCTCCTTGCCCTCTCTTCATCTCACTATTCCTTTGTTCACACCCTTCCCCAGTTTTTCCCTGTCACCTTACATCAGCTCCTGTCACCCGTCATTCACCACCTCCAGCAGTTTCTAGAGGGTTGTTGTTTTTTTTTTAATTAACAAAATTAGCACAAAGTAGGAACATACTAATTAAGGCTGCTGATTACTCAAGCTTGACTGTTATCATTTACGACAGCCAATGCAGAGGACAAACAGAGCACCATCCGAGGAAGACTTGAGCACTGCAGTAACAGACACAAGCTAAAAGCCTCGGAGCACAAGGGCAAAGCTCTGCCCTTCTGGACTAAAAACTATTTCTACTACTAAATGGGAGCTCACCTGGGAACCAAGATCCCGTAAGTCACACAGTAAGAGTGATCAGTGAAATGCAGCCATAAGGAGGCAAACAAAATACTGGCTATATCTGGAAAACACTTTCCAGTAAAGCAAGGAAAGTATTAACAACATTATATAGAACACTACTACACCTCATTAAAAATGCAGGTTTTGTTGCCTGCATCCCACATAGATTAAGCCAAACGGGAATAGAATCAGATAAAAACTACAGGGAAGGAACAACTTACTAAATAAGAAATGAAAATGCTTGGCTTTAGCAAAACAAGGCAAAGCCTGAGAGGAGATGGGACAATCATCAGTACTTTACCAGAACTGCACAGGGTAAAGACAAAGTATACTGTATAAAGACTATGCTGGCATAAAACAAGTGGGAAAAATTGGTATAAATAGGTCTAGGCTAGAAGTTCAAGAAGGTTTCAAACATCAGAGTAATGATCCAGAAACAACTTTCCAATTAGAGCAGCAGTGGCAAAAGATTTTTTTTTAAGATTGAATTTGGTTAATTCATGCAAGGGATTATGACAAAGTATCAACACAACAAGCATTGTAAAACATGACTGACTGACTGAGCAAGTGAATTGGGTTCCAACACAGCAAGTTCCTTCCAGTTCTGTGTTCCTGTGATTTATTTCCAAACATTTCTCTCATGAATAGCTCCACTGGTATTGTGTTCATTCGGGACAAAAGCCAAGGCTTAAATCACATCAATGGAAGTCTTTCCACAGACATCAGTAAACTTTGGATTAGGGCCCTAGAACTCAGAACAGAAATGAACATTTTATTATTCAGCCTGTTTACGCTCATTATCACCCTTGTTACACACTTGATTTAGGAGATAGCTGTGATGTAAAACTTTAGTCTAATCCTTTTTCCTAGACTTTTGTAAATAAATAAAGCGAGTATTTTTCCCATTTCAATTTTTCCTGTTCGTTTACATAAGAGAATCCAAGTAACTAATTGTATACAATAGGGAAACTG